GCTTTCATGATATATTTAGCAGAACTTGAGATAAGTTGACCCTAATTCCTCCCAAGGCAAAGATTCCCAACGAAACGCCGAAATATTTGAATTACCTTCGCAACTTTTCGAAATTTCAGAAGACACCGTCTTAATGCTTCGTACCCTATTACGATATTTGAAAAACGAGTTCATTTTTGGGAACATTTCCATCACATAATTATAAAAGTTTGTGAATGTTTCCATTTAAACCTTTCCGTAAAGTAGGTACTGTGTTTACACAAATTTGTTTGATGTTGAATAACGAAAATGCGTAACGAGAAAGCGAGTTTTGTATACAATAGATAAATAATTCTGAAACGTCCTAATTGAAAAGTGACTTGAATCAAATAAAATAAAACAAAGGAACTGCAAACAAGAACATAAACTAGCTCAATTCAACGGTACAAACAATATAACATTAATCAAACATCCTAAGGGTTGATGAAATTACAGGGGCAAAAAGCGGATGAAAGGTTAAATAGGTGCTACTGTGAGGTATGAAGTGAAAAAACTATGTCGAAAAGGCGGTAATGACGTAAGAAAAGACTTTTAACAGTGAATTTTCAACGTTTGAGCAACGCTTGAGGCAAAAACTCCATGTAACTAATTAAAAGTTTTCGACAGTTTACAGTTGGCGAATTAATATAACGCGAACGTGCCTTTAAGCCTATAGTTAAGCAGTTTGCACTAATTTGAATTACATTCTGTTAACTTACTACTAAATAGTATTTTGACGTTCATAATTGTGGGCGAAGGTAATCATATGATGAGAGAAGACAAAGGCCATAGAATTTTAATAAATTTTCTGTAGAAACTGCCATAGAATATTTAATATTTAGTCGTCGTAGTTGAATGCGTAAGCGATCCTGCGACGCCCCATTAAGACGGGGGAAGGTTTTGTTGGGTTGTAGTGGGTAGTACTGGCTTTGCCGGTGAGTCCCGCACCTCGTGCGTAAATGCATTTTCCAACGTTAAAAAAAAGGAAGGCGGTGTTTTATTTTCTTTTCTTTTATAAATATTTTAAGTAGTATAAATATATAATATTCTTTAATATAGAACGACGGGCTCTTGCCTCTTATAAGTTATAATAAAGTTACGTAATAAGCTAGCTTTTATTTCCCAAACTATATTATACCTAATATAATAGTCTTCTCCCGTAAAATTGTGATTAAACGAAAAGTTAAACAATCATAGCTTTCATTTCGTTTTAGCCCATTGTAAGTTTGATTTACTTGTTTATTAATAAACAAAACGATCCACCGTAACCAGTTTTTATGTAAACACTAGCAGCTCACCCTCGCTTCGCTCGGGTTCGCCTCTAGAAAAACAGAAACAAATCTATCCCACGGGAACCGTACATTTTTCTGGGATAACAAATTAGCCTGAGTGTTATTCTGAAGTATGCGTATATTATTGGAAAGTTTCATTCGGTACTTTTTGCGTGAAAGAGTAACAAACATTCATACATCCATACACACAAACTTTCACATTTATAATATTAATATGGATTTACAATTTCTTTATCAGAACATACGACAAAAAAGCAAGAAGATGAAAAATTTTACACAATTTCATCAAATAGGCATTTTATCAAGACTTCCGATTTGAATGTCAAAGGAAATCTGCGGCGTGAAAAACTGGGTCAAACTTAAACGGACAAATGGCTGTACCGCAATGAAATATGGACGGTTTGAGAGACTCGATTTGAAAGATTAGGGGTCCTGACAATAGGCTTCCACGGGATGCGATAAAGGAAGGGTTGAAAGGTTGAATAGTGCATGTTGCCGTAACTATTTATGATGTTAGCTTTATATCTTACTTTAATAAAACATAATTTATTATTAGCTTTTAGTTTTATTTTATTTGTATTTCAAGCTATTGATAAATATTACATAATTTAATTCTCATATAAAAATTATCTATACTAATATTATAAAGAGGCAGCGTTTGTTTGTTTGTCTGTTTGTTTGCGTGCGCATCATCAATCTCAGGAACTACTAATCCGATTTGAAAAATTCTTTTTGTATTACATAGCCCGTTTATTGAGGAAAGCTATAGACTATATCCCCTAGGGATATATATAATTTCTTATCGTATATCTATTTATTCCATACTAAATTTTCGTTGCAATATGGTGTGTAGAGATAGCCAACGACGCCATATCTATAAATCTGTGATTGAAGAAGAAGATTCAGATAAAATCTGGAATTTTCTCAAATCTATTGGAGTAGGGAAGACACAAAATAATATTAATCCTCATAATATCGATTTAAATCTGTTAAATCAGCACTTCTCACTTTCAGGTACTATTGATAGTACAAAAAAGGTTACCACAATAAATCATCTTTCAGCTTCACCTACTCCTGATATTCCGCATTTTCAATTTAGTCAATTCTCCATAAGTGATGTTAAGAGAAATATTTTGTCTATAAAGTCCAATGCTGTTGGGGCCGACTGCATTAGTCGTAAAATGATCGTTCCCGTCCTTGAAATAATAGCTCCTACAATCACTTCAATCTTAAATTTTTCCTTATGCTCCCATAAATTTCCTACTTCCTGGAAAGATGGACAAATAATTCCTATACCGAAAAAATCTAATCCTTCTTCTTTTTCCGATTATCGTCCAATTTCTATTCTCCCTTTCTTGTCGAAAGTGCTGGAGCGACTTGTGCACCGACAGCTAAGTACTTTTCTTTACAATTACAAATTGTTAAATCCCTTTCAATCCGGTTTCCGCATCGGTCATAGTACGACTACTGCCTTGGTCAAAATTGCAGATGATATTAGAGAAGGTATGAACAGCCAAAAAGTTACCATATTGACATTATTGGATTTCAGTAATGCCTTCAATACTGTAGATTTTGATATCCTACTTGCCATATTATCTTCTCTTAACATATCTCCTGAGGTGATTGATTGGTTTCGTAGTTACTTGTGCGGGCGCCGGCAACGCATACGAATTGAAGATCTTTTCTCTGATCGGTCTATGGTTAAAGCCGGTGTACCACAAGGTGGCGTGTTGTCTCCTCTCTTATTTTCGATTTTCATTAATTCTATTCCCCATCAAATCTCTTCTCTCTACCACCTATATGCTGACGACTTACAAATTTACACATCGTCATCTGTGCCAGACTTACCTCATGCAATTAGTTTAATTAATAGAGATCTGTCCTGTATTTCAGCATGGAGTGAATCTTATGGCCTTGATATTAATCCTTCTAAATCACAAGCAATTATAATAGGCAGCCAGAGGTTACTATCAAAAATATCACGATCTGGGACGCCACCGGTTATATTGAATGGTGTCGAAATTCAGTATTCTGATAAGGTAAAGAACCTGGGGATCATTTTTGACCAATATTTATCTTGGGCACCACAGGTAAGTGAACTGAGCCGAAAGATGTTTGGTGCAGTTTCCGCTCTTCGGAGGTTGCGAAATTTTTTGCCCATATCAACCAAAATTGCACTAGCAAATTCACTCCTTCTACCAATTCTTGATTACGCTGATACTTGCTATCTTGACGTTAAAGAGGAGCATCTAAATAGACTTGAGCGGCTTCAAAATCTTTGTATTCGGTTTATATTTGGCCTTCGTAAATATGACCATGTTTCAGAATTTCGCAAAAAGCTCAAGTGGCTCCCAATCCGCCTTCGCAGGAATACTCATGTACTTCATCTTCTCTACTGCGTGCTGTTCTACCCTTCTTCTCCTTTCTACCTTAGAGAGCGTTTCCAGTTTTTGAGTGATACCCATACTCTTCCACTTCGCTCTAGTGAAACGTTGTTGCTTAAAATTCCTTCTCACTCCTCCTGTTTCCTTACCAACTCCTTCGCAGTAAAGGCTGCACGCTTATGGAATAATCTTCCAATAGACATCAGGCGTGCCAAAAGTTTTGATAATTTTAAGGTACAGTTAAAATCATATTATTTGTCTCTATAGTATCTTCTATTGAACTTTTTATACTTTTTCATCTGATCTACATTTATGTATGTATGTATATATGTAATGTATGTATGTATGTATGTATTATGTATGTATGTATGTATGTATGTATGTATGTATGTATGTATGTATGTGTGTGTATGAATGTATGTATGTATATATGTATGTATGTATGTATTTATGTATATCTGTATTTAGGATATGCAATTGTGTGTAGTAAGTACACCGCCTACCATTTCATATAATTTCTCCTACGCCCTAAGGTTGCCTGGAAGAGATCGCTTATAGCGATAAGGCCGCCTGCTGTGCATCATCTATTGTTTATATCTTCTTTTTGTATATTTATTTGTGGTGTACAATAAAGCATCTATCTATCTATCTATCTATCTAAACTTTAAAACGTACCTAGGGACGTGACTCGCTGGTCTAATTGTAATTTCCATTTTTACTACATTTGCTTGGGGTTTGTTTGTTAAAAAAATATATAAATTAACTAAATTAGATCAATGCATTTCTTTAAAACAAAAAACAATTTCAAAGAAGTGAGTAAAACATTTTCTATTCAATGGAGCGTAATCTTCCTCAATTTGCAGTCCGGAAACGGCACAGTAGATCAGGACTGGGTTAGCCTTATTTCCGGTTAGTTAATGTAACTACGAGTATATTTTTTTTACTTGATCTTAATATAAAATATATGTAGAAAAATTGACTAACAAAATCAGATTTATGTATATTTAAACGAAATTAATGTGTGATTATTTATTTTTGATTTAATTATTTTAAAATAGCTTATAAAGAAATTCTCATAAGAAATTCGTCTAAATGATATTACGAATGTTATAAAATCCTTTTAAAACAAAAAAAAATGTTTCGGTTATTTCATATGACTTTTTCTACCTTTTTAGGTTTTTAAAAGGGATTTGAACCCGCTTCACATGGATTCCCAAGAGAGCGAGTTACCACTGGGCTCCTACTGTCTCACGGAACTGTGTGTATATAATATACTATTATTATATTTATATTATAATATTCTTACCTTAACAATTTGATATCCCAAAGTGCCAGCACTTCAGGTGGTCGAGAAGCGCACAACGCTAATCTCGGTCCACACGCGTGCAGCCTCACTGGTCCAGCCTTGATCCCTGTAGTGGATGGGGCCGATATGATCACTGCCGCAAATTCCTTACTACTGCCTAGATTGTGCTGCACCTAAAGAAAAATATTAGGTTTAGATAACTAAATAATACTCATTTTTATATTATTACTGATATAAAAATTATCTGACATTATTGTAACTGCGTCCTTGTATTGAAGGTCACGGGTTCGGTTACTGGAAATAGTATTTTGATGTTGCAATTTGTTATACTCATATTATTATCTCTTAGTGATAATATTTGCTAGCACGTTATCGCTCTGTCCAAGTTTTTAGTGTATTGAATATTAGTCGCTTTTAAAAAGTTCATGTAAGTAAATAGAAAACTACTAACTATACTTATATTAAATATCTAAAAAGATTTTTTATTAAAATCCACTAACATCTGGAAAATTAAGAAATTATTTTCATATTTACTTTACCAAAAAGTACGCTACGAACCCTACGAAAGGAACAATCCTATATACTATTTTTATTATTTGATAGAAACTCTGTCTGGTACCTTTTAATGCCTTAACCGCTAAACAGATTTTGATAAAAATTTAGCAAGGACATAGATTGCATCCGAGATCGAGCCGAAGTAAAATCTAGTCATACGCGAGGAGATTCGTGAGCAATATTATACTATTCTAATATTATAAACGGGAAAAAAAATATTTTTTATTTGTTTGTATCGAATAGGCTCTGAAACTACTGAACCGATTTAGATGAAATTTGGTAAGAAGATATTTTGAGACCCTGGGAAGGATATAGGATAGTTTTCATCCCGGAAATCATCCCTTAAGGAGGTGAAAGTTGTATGAGGAAACAACCTAGATTTATATAAATAACTACCATTTTATTTAGATGCAAGTGTCGGAGAAAATAACTATGTAGCCGTTAAATGTACAGCATTAGGTGGTTATCTGAGATAAAACCAGAGTGGTATGTGATCATTGATAATAGTATTTATAAAATGTAGTAAATGGTGCTGATAAAAATGAACGTTGAAAAGCAATGTTTGTCGATTATATATTTTATTGACCGACATCGAAAGAGGTGTACCTACTTATAATACTTTCTTAGATTTACGACAATATTTAAAATTTTAGAATAAAAGAAGCATTTCGGATTTTTTCGCGGATTTATTTTCATTTTTGGTTCCCGACGTTTCCAAAGCTTTACAGCAATCAGTGTCACAGAACAAACTGAAATGTCGGGAATCAAAAATCTTAGTGAAAAAAAGATAGTTTCATTTTAAAATAATTAGAATGTTTGTTTTCAAATTTAAATATTCTTTATTTATAAATAGATTAGCTCAATAGTATTTCTAGGTAAATTCTATGAAACTTTTCACTTGTAAGGATGAAATCAACATTTAAAGTAATTTTGAAGTTATATATACCTTTTTAGTTGAAAGATAATTAAATATTTCTTTAGTATGTCGTGTAGTTAGAATAGTATTAGCAGGGGCGGATTGTGAATTATCTTTATAAAATCTATAATAATAGATAGTACCTACTAGACGAAATTAAGATAACGCTTTTGTTTGGTCCTTAATTGATCTTAGGGTCTTAATTTTTTAATTTTAGATATAGATTAAAATATATATTTTTTTAAATTCACAATATTATCAATTTTCTCAAAAGGGGGCCCTTTATATCTTAGGGGTCCTTTGCTGCAGCCCATAAAGCCTGTATATATAGATAGGTACGCCCCTGAATATAAGGGATTTTTGAGTTTGAAAAGATAATTTAAACAGCGATATATTGTTATATTACTGCTGGTTGCTAAACAAAACTTAAATTTCAAACATACAAATAATAAAACAATCTAGAACTGACCATTTACATAGTATTATTATATCCGCAATCGTCAATTATTTGCAATGATAAATCTAATAGTACTTAATTTGCTCTTCGGGGGATTAATGCTCTTAAGAAGTGTCGATCAACAGTTATCGATTTGGGTCGACGTTGATTATTATTTTACATCAAACTTAAATATGTAATAACTGTCTTATCTAAGCTTTATTTATATACTAGCGAATCACCCACGCTCCGCTTGGGTTCGTCCCTAGTTACGTTTTAAGGTTTAGTATAGATTTCACAGAGATGAGATATTTTCCCGCGTAAAAAGTATTCTATATATATACCCGGATAACCAGCTATCATCATACCAAATTTCATCAAAATCTGTCCAGTGGTTTTCTCATGATGCGTTTCCAGATAGACAAACACATAGATTTGGCCTCTGTTTCGATAATAATGACTATTTCAATAATATTTTCCAGATAGATATATTAACTAGCCTTATTTCGCCCGAGTAATTTCCTAAGAGCCTAAGTGTTATTCCAGGTCATAATCTATCTGTAAACTAAATTTCATCCGTATTTGTCCAGCCGTTATAAAATGAAAGATTAACAAACATACACACATATATACACAAACGAATTTTCTCTTTCATAATAGTAGTTCGACTATAAAGTTGGTTGTGTGTTTTGTATAATGTAAACTATTATCTGACTCAATAGCTAAACATGGCCAGACCCGGGACTCGAACTCAGGACATCCGGATGTGCAAATATACATACTAGCCACTACGCCATTAAGGCAAATAACCACCGACCAGGCGACTTGAAGAGATAATGAACGAAGCATCATCTAAGCAAACAAATTTACTAACAAAATCTTTTACATACTTTCTTAGATTTACGCGAATATTTGACATTTTAAATATTAGCGTTATTGATTTTTCGAATTTTTGGTTCCGGGAACGGCACGGAAATCAAAATAAATCCACGAAAAAATCCGAAAAGATAGTGTTATATAAAATCTCACCTTTACTCTCCACTGTATTAAGATCTCCCTCGTATCAAACGCCAGTACAGGTACTACGTCTTCACATAATATGGCGAGAGTGTTGGATTCTTTATCAAGTGTAAATCCAGACTCAAAGCCGAGGTACTGTTGTAGTGAAAGCGATGCTTTAGTCTGTCCGTTCTTCTGTCGCTCCTTTAAGTCCTTATATAATTGCAGATGAACGCAATCTGTGAACAATGAGTATAACGTTAAATTGGAAATTTTCAAGCTCTAAATATATATGTTAGTAATAAAAATTAAAAATACCATTTTACTAATTCCTATTCCTGTAGAATTAGAAAACATTTTTACTATATTATCTATAAATATAATAAACTTCTGAGTCAAATCTGTACATTAAATATTTTTTGGAAAATGTTATTAAAGAGGCCTAATAATCTAATGCAAAAATAATTTTTCTAATCAGGTTAGTAGTTCCTGATACTAGCGCGTTCAAAGAAACAAACTTTGGCTCTTTATAATATTAGTATACCTATAATATATAATATTTTATGGTACATAAATAAAAAAATATATAAAAAAACTAAGTCACATTACTAACAACCAATTCTCCTATCTTAACAGCTTCTAGCTCATATAAAATACGGCTTCTGTAAAACGGATAGATGTTAACCATATATCTAGACCCCAGAGAAACTGGCTTGAGAAAATGTTGAATCTAATGGAAGCCTTTGCGATATTCGATGCTCGGTTTAATGAGGCCTGCTTAATGACCGTCGTGTACTAACGTAGCGTACGGTTCGCAGGACCAGTAAAGGGAAATCGATGTAAATTTTTAAGGAAATTGCTAAAAATATATTAATTTGGCTTAAAATTATGTTGTGTTCAGGAAACTCATGCAAATTATGTTATTTTGTTTGGTTGGTAATGCGTATGATTACATAGATAATGTATTAGAAACTGTAGTTATAAAGAATCTTTCGGTAAGCTAGTATTGAAAAATTGACTTTTGGTCTTCAAATTATTATTAAAAATGCTACAATAATATAAAAAGCAAATTATATGATCTGTTGTTGAGTTGAAATGATAATGCACACTTTGCTCTCTTCAAAGGCTTGACGAATATATATTGTCATTTGGGGTTGAATTTTCTCTTGAAATATATATAGAACCACCCTTAAAAATAAGATTTATCATATTAAGTTAACTACTAGCGACTCACCCTCGCTTTGCTCAGGTTCGTTCCTAGGTACGTTTTGACGCTTAGTATGGAATAGATTTTATTTTTCCTTTTTTTTTTGCTCGTGATTTTTTCCGAGGAGACAAATCCAACAAATCAAAAACCATGAAAATCGGTCCAGCAGTTCTCTAGTTATAAGTGTTGTAAAAACCTGACTTTGTTTTATATACGTAGGTATATAATGGATAAGCAATGTTGTCGTGTTACACACAACAAAATTACCACCCAAATTTAGATATAGTATAGTAAAGACATATAGGTAATAGAGAGCTGAAACTGAACTGCTGCTTTTTGTAGTCAGTCCATATTTCTCATCTTACTTCTTAATGTGAAAGTTTAGATGTTTGGATGGATGTTTGTTACTGTATCACGCTAGAACGGATAAACGGATCTGAAAGAAATTTGGACAGAGATAGATTATAGTCTGGAATATCACATAGGTTACTTTTTATCCCGCAAAAATGTGCAGTTCCCGTGGAATGGATTTGTTTTTTTTTTAATTTTATTTAAAATATCTTTTCGGATTTTTTCGCGGATTTATTTGGATTTTTGGTTCCCGACGTTTTGAATGCTCTACAACATCCATGGTCACGGGAGAAACTGAGGTGTTAGATGACTCGACGGTATAGTTGTTACCAGCCCCGGCCGAGCTCCATACAAGCGCATATTCATAAAACCGCAGGCGAATAAGACGAAGCGGGGGCCGGGGGGGTCGAGATAGTCAAAGAAATATTTTTCCCCATTTACTATTACAAATTAAGAAATAGCTACATGGAATATGTTAATTAATATTTTATTATATTATAAAATATACTTAAGTTAAATATGCTTAAAATGTTTTTTTTTATAAATCATATATGCTATATATTGATTTATATAATTATATTCTAAATGATTTTAACTATTATCGAATATCTTATATTTTAATTATATTTCATATCAAACATAAAATATCTATTAACATTAGTTTTTATGTTATAAAAAATGATTTATATTTTAGAGCTGTGTCATGATATTTGCCTTAATATGGGGACAGTTATGGCATAAATAGCAAGTCAAAATATGCTGTCACTTTCGCGGCTATTGTATTTCTTTTGAGTCGCCACGCATCTCTTTCTAAGGGTATGACGTCATATGCGAATCTGGGAGAATTTAGTTCGTAGTGATGTAAAAATCGGTATTCAACAACTGTTATCGGTTTTATAGTAAGGTTTTCATTTTTATGATATTAATTATATTAGAAATAAAATACAAAGATAGGTGTCTAGTTTTTTTATTTTACTATATTAATGCTAGCACTAGTTCGGAAATATGCCTCAGACCTGAGAAGAACTAGCAAGGACTGAAGTCCTTGACGGGATAACCTTTTTTTTTCTTAACATTTATAGTACATTGTTATTACAATAAAAAGACATTTTTAAAGAATTTTATCAATTGAATACTAAATACAAAAAATATAAATTAGTACAACGATTTGGTTTAAAATATTACAATGCAATAAAATTAGAAGTAACATAGAACAATAGTTTTTGTTAATAACAATATAATATTAAGCGAGTAGTAGGTTTAATTGTAGGTATAAATTAAAATCTAGCTTTTGTTTGAAGTTTTAGCTCTAGAACCACCTTCATCTTTAGTTTATAAAATGCAAAGATTCGAGATTAGCGCATTTGAAAAAACAAACATTTTAGTTTTATATAAATTAAAAAAAAAATGCAAATTTCAGAAAAAAATGAATAATAAAATTAATTTTCTTAAAAGCTTAAGAAATTTAAAATCAAATATGTACATAGTAATAGTAAACATTTGGTGTAAAAGGAAATAACAGCTAAACATACTCTAAAATAAAATTTCTAAATACATAGTTCTATCAAATGTAACAATTATAATTAATATATTAAAATTATATACTGCTATATTAGTATATTTTAAGAAATTATAATATTATTTCACAGAAATCAAATGAAATATTCATACATTATTTTTATACTTAATAGAAACATAATAAAAATGGAAAATTCTAAGTGATTATCTTTTAAATAACCAAGAAATGAAACAAACAAGAGTAATAAATATTAAAAGTTAATTAATGAACTAAATAATTAAAAAATATTGGAAAATCATTCACTACTCTGAAGACTAGATGAGTTCAACCGTAGCTAGGCCCTTCTGAAACTTTCATATTAAGCAAATTTTCTATTTCCAGACCCTTTTTTCTCGAATCCACTTTATGCATTCTTGAATTAAAATTTATACACCTTTGTCTAACTTTTATACATATCATAAATAATTAGAATGCTCTTAAAAATATTTCTTTATGATCTACACAAGTGTACCAAGAGGTATCAAGATATTCAAATGCTTTTATTAAATCGGGAAATATGTAAATTTTACAAATCTTTGGTAATTGTCTTTCAATTATGTAAATTGCATACCATACTAGAGATGACAGATTCTTAGAAGGATCATGTATTTTATTATTAATGAATAAAATAATCTCAGCTGTGAATAAGCCATTCTCAATATTTACATTTAATGTATTACAATAATTGTGTTCTTCCTGGAAACTAAAAGCCTTTATCAGGAGACTTATAGATGCTGAAACACTTCGACTGCTGAAACATCTGCGCAGCATATACTTCACCTGTAAATATATTATTATAATAAATTAATGTAATACAACAAATTCAATAGTCACCGTAACTATAGTATATGTACTAGTAACTACTATAGATGAATAGTAGCTTATTTAAATATAGTTATAGTTTATTATTATTAGGGTCTAGGTAGATAAGCCAATTTAGCCCTTAAATAGCTTTTAACATTATACAATAGATAGGATATAGACTTGATAAATTGTTTTTAATGGACTGAGCATTACATGGATAAGTGCATTCAAACAATAAACAAACTCTCCAATTTTACATATTAGAATAGAATAGTATAATAATAAATAGTATAATAATATCAATAGCTTTAAGAAGTTTCTTTCTTAAAAACAATTTCATATTAAAGATAAGATAATATCCAAGATCTAAAGTAATATAATAATATCTTAATTTATTAAACTTAACAATATAGTTACCTTCATTTTAACAAAAGAGTTTGGATAAATATGCCTGTCAGTAAGTTTGTTAGCCTTGGAGCACCTTTATGGTCATCTACTTTATACAACATATGAACATAATCCCATTGAGCACGCTGACTGCCAAGGAGCAAATTCTTTTTCTGAAAATTATTACTAAAACATTTCAGTAAATGAGGTACATCATAATTATGATAGGTTTTGTTCCCATTAACTTCATAATGGACAGCACTTGATGCATCATTGGCACTACAAAGTATATTTACCTTAGTATCAGAAATGAATATATTGCAGCTACATTGGCAGAAACCTGGTCAGATAGTTTCTCTAGAAATAAACCCTGTTTATAAGAATTTCTATAAGTATACGTTATAAAATTGAAGTGCATCTTTATATGGCATTCTATGGCATGAAAAACCTTCTGTTCCTTCCTGACAATTCGGAATATTACAATGCTTTCCCATGATTACACAACATTAATAAAACCCAAAAAAAGGAAGAGAAACACTAATGAAGAAATCACAAATTTTGTATCCAAGCACAAATCTGACTATATCACTGATCTAAATTAATCAATACTAATCTACAAATTGATAAAATATAAAAAACGGCGAGCTCTCACACCCTAGTCCCCAGGGGCGAGTAATAACAACGGTTAAAACTTGAAAATTTCAAAAATAACAATATATTGCAGTGACGTCACAGTAGTGACGTATGTAACTGCGACAGAAATAAGTTGTTGTCCCACTCGTTGTCGCCAAATGTAGAGATAGCATGCTAGTTACCAAGCAAATGAAAGGGATAGATAGATGCACCAAGAGCTCGTATGGAACTAATTCATCTATTTTATTTGTCATCCATGGTTGTTACACACAGCCTACCCACAATTAACAAAATGAAAA